GCCTTTCGCCTCGCTCGTCGCTGCGTGCCAGCTGGGGGGCTGCGATCTGTGACACTGTCGCCACTTTCGAAGCCTGCTGGGGGGCCCAGCACAGTGGGTACCCACCACGGCTGGGGGCTGCGATCTGTGAAACTGTCGCCACTTTCGAAGGCTGCTGGGGGGCCCACGCAATCTGTACTCGCGGCGAATTCAAAGTAGACCTCGCCATCCCTGGGGGGCTGCGATCTGCGAAACTGTCGCCACTTTCGAAGGCTGTTGGGGGGGCCAGCGCTGTCTGCACCCGCGGCGGACTCAAACGGGACCTCGCCATCCCTGGGGGGCTACGATCTGCGAAACTGTCGCCACTTCCGAGGCCTGCTGGGGGGCCCAGCACAGTCTGCACTCGCGGCGGATTCAAATTAGACCTCGCCATCCCTGGGGGGCTGCGATCTGCGAAACTGTCGCCACTTTCGAGGGCTGCTGGGGGGCCCAGCACAGTCTGCACTCGCGGCGGATTCAAATTAGACCTCGCCATCCCTAGGGGGCTGCAATCTGCGAAACTGTCGCCACTTTCGAGGGCTGCTGGGGGGCCCAGCACAGTCTGCACTCGCGGCGAATTCAAAGTAGACCTCGCCATCCCTGGGGGGCTGCGATCTGCGAAACTGTCGCCACTTTCGAGGGCTTCTGGGGGGGCCAGCACAGTCTGCACTCGCGGCGGATTCAAACTAAACCTCGCCATCCCTGGGGGGCTGCGATCTGCGAAACTGTCGCCACTTTCGAAGCCTGCTGGGGGGGCCAGCAACCTCTGCACTCGCGGCGGACTCAAATGGGAGGGTGGCTACGATCTGTGAAACTGTCGCCACTTTCGAGGCCTGCTGGGGGGCCCAGCACAGTGGCTACCCACGGCGGACTCAAATGTGACCTCGCCACCCCACCACAGTCTGCACCCGCGGCGGACTCAAATGGGACCTCGCCATCCATGGGGGGCTGCGATCTGTGAAACCGTCGCCACTTTCGAAGCCTGCTGGGGGGCCCAGCACAGTCTGCACTCGCGGCGGATTCAAATTAGACCTCGCCATCCCTGGGGGGCTGCGATCTGCGAAACTGTCGCCACTTTCGAGGGCTGCTGGGGGGCCCAGCACAGTGGGTACACGCGGCGGATTCAAATTAGACCTCGCCATCCCTGGGAGGCTGCGATCTGTGAAGCTGTCGCCACTTTCGAGGCCTGCTTGCGGGGCCCAGCACAGTGGGCACCCACGGCGGACTCACATGGGACCTCGCCATCCCTGGGGGGCTGCGATGTGTGAAACTGTCGCCACTTTCGAGGCCTGCTGGGGGGCCCAGCACAGTGGGCACCCACGGCGGACTCACATGGGACCTCGCCATCCCTGGGGGGCTGCGATCTGTGAAACTGTCGCCACTTTCGAGGCCTGCTGGGGGGCCCAGCACAGTGGCTACCCACGGCGGACTCACATGGGACCTCGCCATCCCTGGGGGGCAGCGATCTGTGAAACTGTCGCCACTTTCGCGGCCTGCTGGGGGGCCCAGCACAGTGACGCCACACGCAGATTCAAATTAGACCTCGCCATCCCTGGGGGGGTGCGATCTGTGAAACTGTCGCCACTTTCGAGGCCTGCTTGCGGGGCCCAGCACAGTGACGCCTCCCGAGTAGCTTACACATCAAGTTGATTGTCCATACAAGTTTCGGCCAACTCCTCGTTTCCATTAATACAAATGGGTTGGGTACGTCACAGGGTAATTGCTTCAGAATGCGACCCCACCCGTTACAGCAAAGGCTGATTCAGATCTCGTTCTTCTTGGCGTGACGCAGCGCGGTGAGGAGGCAGCCACCCGCCACTCGTCAGCCTGAGCGTGCATATGTATGGCTCTTTGGAAGCTCGTGGGAGAGTTCAGAAGTTCGTTTGAGGTTGGTCTGTCTCTCTGCAAAGTCAAGAGCCACTGCGCTATGGCTGAAGTTGATCGAGGTAAGTAGGATCAGTCGCAAAGAACGGTTCGGCAATTTCCACGCAGCTGTGTGGGCCAGGTTAGCTGGCCGTCGCACGCGTGCTCCGAGTGACATGCGCGCGTGAATAGGCTGAAGGCGAACAACTTGTCGAGTGCGTTGGCCATCAGATCGGCCCTGCGGAATTATATATACACACGATATATATATATATATATATATATATATATATATATATATATATATATATATATATATATACACACGACCACATCGGGGCTCAGTCAAGAAGGGTCAGCTTGCTGGCAGCTTCGGCTGGAAGAAGGGCACGACGGTGTACAGGCCAATCGCTGGTCGAAGCCGTGGCTAGCAAGGACGCTAAAACTCGCGAGGCGTGTGCACACACGGGGCTCGCCCCCTCGGTGACCCCTTCCATCGCGGCCGCCATCGCATCGGTCTCCGACTGTGGCTCCATCTGCTTCCCTGGAGCTTCAGCTCGAGCGGCGAGCAGAGCGTGAGTGCCAGCGCATGCGTCGCACTCCCAACCGGGTCCTCCGAATCGTGGCCCCTCCCCTCGTGCACGACCTGCCCGGTCCCGCCGCCCGCCCCATGGTGCACCCGCGGCCGCCCTCGGGGCCCCGGCCTCGAAGAGACGTGCGGCGGCACGCGCGAGAGCCGCGCCGGGGAGGCCAACCGACGGCTGCGGGAGCTCGAAGCTCGGAAATCCGCGAGTGGGCGCCAGATGGCATCGTTGCCAGGGGTGTGCACCACACTGAAGGCGCCATGCAGGCCGAAGCCGACCATGTGGAGCGGGCTGTGTGTGTGAGAGAGAGAGAAGAAAAACGAAGACGGGTTGTGGGCATAAGAAGCCAGTAGCGATGACACTTGACATCCTCGCCTTGATCGCGCCCGCGACAGGTGCTAACAAATCGTCCCCCCCGAGGGCTGCGGGAGGGAAGGCGCACAGTTGAGGACAACTTGCTTGAGCCGTCGCACCCCTCGGTCGCCTGCCTCAGGCGTGGGGCTCATGGCTCGAAGCAGCTCAAAGAGGAGGAGGAGGGGGAGGAGGGGGAGGAGGGGGAGGAGGGGAGGAGGAGGAGGAGGAGGAGGAGGAGGAGGAGGAGGAGGAGGAGGAGGAGGAGGAGGAGGAACGTTTTTGGGGGCCTGTGGCCGTCCAAGGGCCCACGGCAGCGAAGGCGCTCGTCGGTTGTCCAGTGGGCTTCTGCCGGGGGGGCCCGAAAGCTGAGCTCAGCGGGAGCGCGTGGACCGTTGAGCGACTTCCTTCGTTGGCGCCCTCTGGCTTCGGGAAGAACGAAGAGGTGTAGGAGGAGGAGGAGGCCAAACATGCTAAGGCACCTCGATCCTCGAGTGAGGATGGTGAGGAGGAGCAGGAGGATGTGGATACATGACAAGAGGAGGAGGAGGAGGAGGAGGAGGAGGAGGAGGAGGAGGAGGAGGAGGAGGAGGAGGAGGATGAGGAGGAGGAGGAGGAAGAGGAAGAGGGAACAACGAGGAAACCCAATTGATGTTGTGAAATACAGCGCCGTAGTAATGATGACGACGATGAGGAATATAAAGAAGACGACTACGAGGCCGATGAGCCTCCAAGACCCTTGGACGCCTCCGAATCCCTCCGAGAAACCGCCCCCGACGATCGAATATCGCCACGAACACGACGTCAACAACGACGGCGACGACGACCGCGGCGACGATTTCGCCGAGAGCGACTTGAGAAACGATCAAATACCGACACCTCTACTCCCCAGACCTCACCCAGGGTGCGTTCTGCCCAGGATTTCGAGGTGCGTCCAGCCGTGGCGACGAGGGACGCGTCGCGGTGTCGGCACTCGGATGTTGACGGAACCATCTTTAGCAGAACACGCTTGAGTGAAAATGCACTGGGAACCAAAACCCGCTGGCGCAGGCTCGCAAACATGCGGCCGCGAACCCCCCTCGAGAAGCGAGACAAACAGGGAGGGCAATTCGCTGACCGACGCGGCAGGGTGTGTGGGGGCTCTGTCTGTCTCCGAGGTACCTCTCCCTCCCGCAGCGACGACGGCGACGCCGACGACGACGAGGACGACGCCGACGAGGACTTGACTTGACTTGACACGGCCTTCAAGATGGTGGCTCCAGGCCCTAGCCGTTCGGGCAACTTAAATCTCGATGTTCGTGCCTGGAGGCACTGAGCCTCTACAGGGGAAGTGAGATTGAGCGGAGATCTTAAAGAGGGGCCCCCCCAAGTCGATCCAAGATTCAGCCCTAGAAGGAACTCAGATCCGAGGCCAGGAAAGCGTAATGTTTGAAACTCAGATAGATCCAGGAGCAGTCGGAGGTGTGGGTTCTGGGTTTTTTTTCGACGTTCCCTGTCCGTGTTGAACCTCACGACGCCAGTTACTCCAGTCAAACTCGGAGTCCTTCCAGCGTTCGGGGTCCAGGGCGATCTCGCGCCACTGCAGCCCGTAATAGTCAACGCATTGCTTCTCCCATCGCCAGACGTGGAAAGAATAATGGTGCCCTTGCGAGCCTATGGAGTCCTCGAGGTGCTTGAGATATCTGTAATCTTTATACCCCAAGGCTTTATACACGATGTGGTCGGGTTCGTATACTTTCATACGGGCAACATGGCCCGCCCAGCGGTGTCCGAGGGTCAAAACGTACTGGTCCCAGGGCATGGTTTTGGCGTTCATCATCAACTCGTGAATTTTGCGATAAACCCGTCTCAGACAATCTTCCATAGATTCCTCATCTGGCTTGCGGATACCTAACATATGGCGAATCATGCGATACTGTACTGCACGGGTACGTCTAAGATGAGCTCTGGTGAAATTCAAACTTCCAAAACAGGAAAAGGCGGCCTGCCGCACGATCGTATCCAAGAGGCCGAGACGCTTCGAGATGGGGCTGCGCTTGCTGCATAGGACTCCACGATGTGCGCAGAAGGCTGTCCAGGCTCTCGTGATGCCTCTGCTGACCGCTGAGGAAGCGCAGTTATCCAGGGTGATCCACGCCCCCAGCTGACGAAATCCCTCAGAGCGACCGAGACGGGGGACGAGGCCTTCTTCCAAGCGCAGCGTCGCCGCCGAGTCCTTGGCGGTCGTGAGCCAGAAACAGTCGCTGAGCAAGACCGTGCAAGCAAAGCGCTGGCGTAAGATACGGTGCCATTCTGTCCACATTGCTCTCAGCATCTGAGCGGAGCTGGCAAGCAAGTAAAAGTTGTCGGCGAACACCATGAGGGGTAATCGGGCGATCCTTGGGTCCTTTTTGCGTTTCTTCTGGGCGTTCAGCATTGCCAGGTCCTCGGGTTCCAGCGGGTAACCCCATCCGTTTTTTCACATAACACTTCAAACTCGGAGATCGGGTCATCCAGGAAGAGGTTGAAAAGTCTGGGTGCCTCAGGGCCCCCCTGGAGCAAGGATCGCGTGCGAGAAACCTGCCGTGTGGGTGCCGCCCCAGGCAAGAGAAATTCGGATCGTCCGCTGCGTATTTCTCGTATCCACGCCGCTGTGATGATTCTGGGGATCTTACGTTTCCGATGGTTGCGAATGATATGGCGATGACGTACATGATCGTAAGCTTTGTGTAAGTCGCCCACCCCCAGGAACAAAGGTTCACGGAATTCCACTGCTCTCTCAATCAACAGGCGGGTTGTGGCTACGACCTCGTGCACCTGGTAGCTCTTGCGGAACGCAAGCTGGAGCTTCGACAAGGGCATCTGATCAAGCTCTAGCAGCTCGCTCGGGCACATGGAATACAGCTTAAGCACGCAAGACAGCAGGGCGATCGGGCGGAAATCCTTGACCCTGCAAGCTCCATAGAATTTGGCTGGCAGCGTGACCTGGTGTCTATTGAATATCGGATCTAGTTGTTCACTGGGATGATTACGTAGACGGAGTACATATAATTCAGCTAGTAGGTCCAGGGTTTCGGTGCTAAGTACTTTCAACATTTCCATGACAATGCAATCATCTCTGGAACAGGTCTTTCCTGGCTTGAGGCGAGACAGGCACTTCCTAATCAACTGGGCGTCCAGGCGCTTGGGCAGCTCCTCCAAAGCCTCGGGGCCCCAGTGTGTCCAAATCCACTTGGGAAGGCTAGCATCCGTCGGATCCTTGAACAACGTCTCATAAAACCGAGCCACCTCTTCCCTCATCTCGTCCTCATCCGTCGTGATGTACTCGTTCCCTCCTCCCACCTTCAGTGCCTTCGCCTTATTCTGTCCACGGAAACGGTCGACTTTACGATGCTGTACGGAATAGGCTGCACGAATATCTTGCTTTAAAAAGGCGAACTGGCGCATCAGCGGGACCAGCTGCAAGCTCATGGCCTGTCTGAGCGTCGGGTCCTGCTCGGTGTTCCGCGCTTGCAAATACTGCTGGATCCTGTAACTCAGAGGATGATCCTTGGGAACGTTCGGGGGTCCCGCGGGGATTTTCTTGCCGCAAGTCGAGGCGATCTTGCCCACCAGGGCGGTAAACGAGCCCATGGAAGGAACAGGGAAACCTTGGCGATCGACACGGGTGATCTCCGAGGCAGACGGTGGAACGTCCTTTGCGTCGCTATCAAGTGTAAGCAGCTGGGTCTTGCGCGGTCGATCAAGCAAGTCTCTCCACGGCCTGTGAAAAAGGAATGCCTCCTGCTGGGGCGCACACTGAAGATGCAGATGCTGTTGTTCCGACAAAGGGATATCCGAGTTATTGAGGATGGATCAACACTTCTCGGCATTCAGGGATGGAATGGGGCGAGGCCAGGTGCGGGGCCATTTATATTGTTCCATTTCTCCAGGGATAGGTTGACCTCCAGCTTCCGCTAAACGATCAGCGATGTCATTTCCCCCGCACCCAGCATGCCCTTTAATCCAGGAGAAGAAGACCACGTATTCCTTCTGAACGGCCTACCAGACGTGCTGAAGTAGTAAGGCTAGCACAACATTATGTTTGGGTCGGAACTTGTAATGCAGCATTCCCAAGACGTAGGTCGAATCGAAGACGGCTTCCAGGACCGAACCTCTCGGAATCGAAGCCGCGCCCGTCGGTAGGTGCTGCCCCAATAGCCAGAGTCCCATCTCGATAGCCGCTGCCAGCTCCGCGGTGTCGTTGGTCTGCCTGAGAGCTCCTAAGAAACCTTCCTGAAGGGGATCCAGAAAGACAGGTCCACAGCTTTGGAAAAGCGGATCGACTTGGGCCCCTGGGGCCCTCGAATTCTCGGGAATGCCTGGGGGGTCGTTGAAGACCGAAAAACCCCAGCCGCAAGTCCTGCGATGTTTATTGTACTGTTTAAAGTGGCCATCGCCATACAAACGAAAACGCACGTCATCTAGACTGAATTCGGCCCCAAGGCGAGTTTCGATTCCGAGTTGGCCCTCCACCTTCCTAGCGAAAGTGTGGTCGAGCAATCTCCAGCCAACTGGCTTGGTCTTAAAACTGCACTCAACATTCGGCAACAACTGCGGCACAGGTTTCCTCGCGGCAAGGAACCTGCAAACTAGAGGGCAGTGATCAATCTTCCAAGCGGAGCAGCGACGAGCCTGGCAGTCGTAGGGGCCGCGAGAGGGTCCTCGGCCAATGGCCACGAAGTCTATCTGCCTGGGTTCGAACTTGCCGTCGTAGAAACAAGTGCATGACCCCATCAAAGGTTTACTCCATGTGTTACTCAAGATCAAGTTGTTACTGACTATAAACTCGTAAAACGCATCAGTTTTCCAGCTCTTAATACCTGCAGTGTAAGGACCGACAGTCGAGGATGGTCTAAAGTCGCGCTCGAAAGATGCATTGGCGTCTACACGCAACATGGGCGTGAAATGTGGTGGGCATCTCCCAAGCGACAGTTCGCAATCGGCAATGTCCGTGTAGTATTGACTATGATGATTGGTGTCAGCGTCGAAGTGCGAGCAAACTATCCAGAGGTTCCCGCCGTGAGGGGTGACGATGCCCACGGCGATGCTGTTCCCCAGGCTGATGGGGTCGAAGATGATGCAAGCCTTCAGCGTCTTGTGCACTATGACCGCTGGTCTCCTTTTCCGCCCGCGTACAGGGGGCCCTAGGATCACGCGATGGCCAGCTATCTCCTCGCATACTTTCAGCACATCAGTGAATTCTTGAAGACATGCAAGATCCCAATGGAAGTCGGCCTCCATGAGTTCTAGCCCCCTCGCGGCACTACGCATCGGAACTCCCCCTGCAGTTCCAGCTGATGAAAATAGTGTCGTCGCTAGATGGAAGGCGTCTATTCGTATCTGAGGATAGTCAAGAGCCACCTCGACGGGGTGGGTCATTGATCTCGTCCATATGCTGAGAAATATCTATGTCCACTCCGTGTAACCACAACCATTCCTGAGCCTCAGGCATCACCTTCAGGTTATAGGTGGGGAAATTGCGCATCAGGATCTTCAACGGATTCCTCGGAATTATATCGGCGGGCAGGAACTTGCGGAGCAGCACCACTGAGCCCATGTCCCTGGACGCGTCAATCATCTGCATCAGCTCGGGTTCAGAGAGGCTTGGCCATTTCTTACTAATAGCTGCCTTGAGAAGGTCTTTGGCGTGTGTGGCTCTGTTCTGGCAGGTCAGCTCTTCTGGATATTTGTCGATCGTGTGCCACAACTGCCTCTTGGTAGGGTCACGTACATCCCGCGGCCTGTTCTCATGCGCAGGCGTGGAAGCGAACTTCTTGCCCTTCGTGGCGACTAAGCAATCCCACATTTTCTGGCTCGTCTCGAATTCAATCTTGACGCGATCCGCGTAGCTGCCCACAGGAAATACTTTCTTTACTCCCGTGATGTGGCACTCGGCTAAGATCTGCTCGAGATCATTGGTAAGTCCCAGCCCCTCAGTGTACTGATATCCTCCTACACACAAGATCTGCCGTTTATTGACTGGAGGTCTGATGGTGGGAGGGGCGGCTGCAAAGTCGGATGTCGATCCAGCAACACTACCAGCAGCTTGTCCGTGGCCAGCACTACCTGTTCCTCCGCCTCCTCCTCCGTTCTCAATGACGGCGACTCGGGCGGTCAGGTTCACTAGATCGGTCTTCATGGCGGCTACGGTCTTGTCAGTATTCTTGACTTTGTTCGCCACTTTCTTAACTTCCTTCTCCAACGGGAGCACGCTCTGGGCTAAGGTACTACGGAAATCATTAGTCAGTGCTCTGAATAAACGTGTCTCCATGCCATTCTCCAATCCTTCAGGTACCGGAGCTGGCTGAGCGATAACAGCAGAAACGTCCCCTGGATCGGTATCTCCGTCACTCATGATATCCTCCTCCTCTCCTCCTCTCCTGTGGAAGTCCTTGCCTTCACACGGCGTTGTCCGAGTGCGGCGGCGGGAACAGCAGCTGCGGCCGCGGCTGCTCCACCGCCAAAGCCTGGGGAAACGGGAGCTGCCGAGGAAGCCGCGAGCATCCGTGGTGTCGATGTGCGTGCCACACAAAATGAGTGGCGGTGAGACTACAAAAACTGATGTGCGAGGGTGAGATGCAGCTCCCTGATGATGACTTGAGCCAAAATGGCCGACGAGGACGAGGACGACGAGGACGACGAGCACGACGACGGCTGGCGGCGACGAGCGACGGAAGGCGACTGGCGGCGCCTGCTGCGCTGGCCTCGCGCAACGGGAGCTCCAGTGCCCCGGGGGTCGGGCGCGCCGGAGGCGCGCGGGGGCGGGGCGCTCCCCACGGAGCCGGCGAGGCGCAGCGGCCGCCGTCGACGTCGACGTCATCGACGCGGTCGGCGCTCGCCGTTGCCTGTTGTCGAGGTCGTCGACGCTCGTCGCCCACAATGCTCGGACTCGTCGTCGTCGTCGTCGCCGTCGCTGCCGTCGCCTTCGCCGTCGGCGTCGGCGTCAGCGTCGTCGCCGTTCAACCTCGGCCAATGGGCCCCTGGCCTCCTCTGGGACATTGTCCCGACTTTCTTCTACCGTTTCTCTCTTGTCCTCCGTCCTCGTCCGCCTTCCTCCCCTGCTCCCTGGCACCAGGGACTTCCTCTTCTTCTTCCTCCTCGCCCTCCCAATCATACGCAGCCTTTCACGTGTCTCGCCCTGCATGGCTTTTCACACAAGCCAAATTTCAAAGGCCGCGCCCAGCCCACACGGTCTGAGCTAGACCGGGGCGGCTGTCCGCAGTGGTGTTCGTTCGCTCGTTCCTCCTCCTGCTCCTGCACCCGCGACCCTGGGACCTCCACTGGGGTCAGGCGTGCCGGTGGGCAGTCCAGAGCTGCCACGCGGCTGCTGCTCCTCCTTCTCCTCCCCTCCCGCTCTCCTCCTCCTCCTCCTCCTCCTCCTCCTCCTCCTCCTCCTCATTCTCAAGAATGCTGCTTCCCTGGGGCTTTCGCCTCGAATCTTCTTCATAATGGCGCCCGGCATCACCGCTACCGCTATACCGCACGCGTCGGAACCACTGTCGCTGCCCAAACCATAATCACCATCCCCATCATCAGGCCACCATCATCGTCATCCTTGTGATCGCCGACGCAACCTGCCGCCACCGTAACCCAATGACAGCCCCCTCGGTGTGCGTCATCGGGCCACCACACAACGACCAGAAGCCTTCATCGCACGCTCACGTCGCCATCACGACGTACTTCCTCGCCGTCGCCGACGCTTGTGTACCTGCGGGCTGCCCAGGACAAGGGCTTGGAGATGGCTGCGGGCTGCCCAAGAACCGTGCTTGGAGGCACCGGCGGGCAACCCAGGAAAGCGTGCTTCGAGGCACTCGCCGCCACGGTAACCACAAGTTTCATCACCACCGCCACGATCATCAAATGTTGCATCCGTTCGCCCCTCGCACTGGCCCCGCGAGGCTCCAGCCTCCCCAGCGGCCTGGACACCCACCACCGCGGCCGGAGGCTGGTCCTCAGCGAGCCGCCGTTCGCGCGGCAGGAGTCGGGCGAGGAGCGGAGCTGCGAGGAGGGAGGCATTCACTGCAAGCAGACGCTTCACAAAGAGAGGAAGTGAGAGACAGAGAGAGAGAGAGAGAGCAATGATGATCAAGAGCAGGGCGAGGCCCTCGAGAGGGCACAGAGAGAACCCGATTCATCGACAGAGTATCTGCGGAGGGCACTCCTCTGCCTCTTCGGCTTGTTCGAGTACCCACATCACAGCCAATCCGCCACGTTAGTGTGCACTTCAAATCCTACACAAACGTGCAACACCATCATGCAACAATCAATGCATCCAGATTTCTTCCTCTGAACTGAGCGCCTAGTCTGGTAATCCTCCCACTCCGAGCTTTCTATCTCCATCTCCGCATTGCGACTGGGTCAATAAACCCGTGCCCCCTGCAACCGCTCGTGGACCTTTCGCATCGTTCTCCGTCCGCAGCATTCCCACGCTCGTTCAGTACACACGTCGGCAGCCATTCCCAACCATCCTGTGGTGTTGGGTTCTCGTTTTGAAGGGACAGCGCCGCACCCATTTCGGCACATCCCTCACGTGTTTCGTGACCCCATAAGTAGCTCCACCGAAGGTCGGTGTGGCACCATTCGCATGCGTCCCCGCCACTCATTTCGGCATACCCCTCACACATTTCGTGGCCCCATAATGAGCTCCACCGAAAGTCCCAATGGCACCGTCCGCATGCGTCCCCGCCACCCAATTCGGCATACTCCTCAAACGTTTGGTGTGTAGGTAGCTCCACCGAAGGTCCCACTGGCACCGTTCGCACGCGTCCCCGCAACCCATTTCGGCACACCACTCACGCGTTTCGTGGCCCCATGCGGAAAGTCCCAGTGGCACCGCCCGCATGCGTTCCCGTCACCCGTTTCGGCTCATCCCTCACGCGTTTCGTGGCCCCATGGGGAGCTCCACCGAAGGTCCCAGCGGCACTGTACGCATGCGTCCCCGCCTCAAGGGGGTGGCGCGAGGGGCTCGGCTGTCCCAGGATGCGGGAGAACTTCTAAGAAGGCAGGGGTCTTCCTAGAAGCCCTCCGGGCTTCTAAGAAGCCTCCTTAGAAGCCTCCGGGCCCTCCCTAAGACGGCCCCTTCCTTCTGAGAAGCGCGCCGCCTTCTTAGAGGGCCACCCCCCTCGCGCCACCCCCGTGTGCGCGCCACCACCTTCGTCGTCCTCCTCCTCCTCCTCCTCCTCCTCCTCCTCTGATCACTCGTCTTCTTCTGACCAGGAGGGAAGCGGGGCGCGTCATACGACGGGCCTCGAATTCGACCTCGGCGACGCCCGGCACCGACGGGGCGACGGCCTTTCGACCCAACGCGAGGCGTGTAGGGACCGCAGCTCATCGAGGCGCCGCTGCTGCTGCTCCTCCCTCCTTCCTCTCCCGCCTCCCGCTTTCTCCCCCCCCCTCTCTCTCTCTCTCTTTTGTTCTCTCTTTCTCTCTCTCTTTCTCTCTTTCTCTCTCTCTCTCTCTCTCCCCCTCCCTCCCTCCTCCTGTTCCTTTTGATCCATATCCCTCGGCTGCTGCTGCTGCTGCTGCGGCTGCTGCTGCTGCTACTCCTCCTCCCACCTGGTCCTCGTCGTCTTCGCCCTCCGTCGTCGTCCTCCTCCTCCTCCTCCTCCAATTCCTCCTGTTGAACCACGTGAACGTACCAACAGTCTCCCGCATCAGAGAAGCCAAAGACCGAACAATAAGAGAGTGCAACACGAAATCCCGATTCGCTCTGGAATGCTGCGCCCGAATGCAACTCTCGAACTGGGATCTGCGCCCGCGAAGAGGATCGACAGCGACTTCTCTGCCGCTACGTTACGAGGGTGGCCGAGACACATCTCCCAAAAAACGAAATCGGGTGACCCCAAACGCAGCACATCGCCAACACCAGACCACCCTCCCAGAAGCCCCGCGTCCATCCAGAGCTCGTAGGAGGGGGTGTCATTGGGAATCCCTGGACAGGGGAACGCGGCGATAACAACTCTAGACTTCGCCCGCTCCCCGCAAACTTCACAATACAACGCCTTACTTCCTCCTCCTCCTCCAACTCCTCCTCCTCTACCCCCTCCTCCTCTTTCCTTCCGTACCTTACTCGTCGTCGTCGTCGTCCTCCTCCTCCGCCTCCTCCTCCTCCTCCTCCTCTCATCAACGAGGACCGAGCCTGAGACCTCGGCCGCGCTGCCAGGGAGGCGACAGCCTTCTCTTAGCTCTGTCTCGCCCCCAATCGCCAACCACTGGCAGAATTTTTTTCATGAGCTGCTGTCGCGTTGCCGACGTATGTGCCGAATACTTCTTGCAAGGATAACCAAATTCAGGTCAACGTAAAAAACATATAGACTGCCTTCACGTATTTTCTGATTAGTGCACTTCGCGATCGATTAGAGGTTTCTTCATTTTCCAGTTCCTAGGGCCCATGGCTGGATAGCGTACCCGGCCAAGCCAGGATCAAGGAACATCGAATCGGGAAATCGGATCGAACTGGAATGTACATCGGATCGGGAAGCATCGGCGCGGACTCAAAATCGAATCGAATCGGTTGCGCCCGAATGCACAACAGTGCCCACGCAAAACTCGGGGCCGCATCGGATCGTCGCAAGCCGGAGTCGAACTTGATCGGGCTGGCCAGAATCGATATCGAATCGGATCGAACGGATCGAACTGGACCCTGCAGGGTGACCTGTACCTCTGAGCTCTCCCTGTCTCTCCTTCAATTTCATGGGCAGGAATGGATCAGGAAAGGAAGGAGGTGGTGGAGCAGGGCATCATATCTACAAAGCGTTGAGGCGGCGCTCGAGAAGAATGATCTGGATGTCATTGTCTTCCTCGTCGGTGCCTTCCCCCACGTAAGAGACCACATGCCCAAGCCCATGCCCAAGCCGGTGGTATGCCAGGAGTGGTTTGCCAAACGTTTGAGGCTCCCCGAGAGGACTCCGCGCCCAGTGAGTATTGCTACAATACGACTTTCCCAAACGACATGATGCTCGACGGTAACTGTTTCAAATCGGCAATTATCCAGCCGCTCTGCGGTTGATCGGGAGTTTCTGTATACTAAGATAATGGATGCGCATTTTCCGTGACGCCGTCGACCCCTCCCCTGTGGCCGATTTCTGCGGTGGAATTTGTCAGAGTCGCCGGAAGCAGTGCATGCAACACTCTGGGCCCCTCCCCCGGGGCTGATTTTGCAAGAACGTCCCCGACGAGGGCGCTGGTTTGGGATTCTGCGCCGGATTCGCCAGACTCGCTGGGAACGGTGCAAGAAACACAATTGTTGGCCTTTCTTCCTCGCGCGCCGGGGGTCAGGATGACGTGAGTTCCACAGGAACTCCTTCAACTTAGAGCGCTCGAGAAGAGTGATGTAGGTCTCATCGCCTGCCTCATCAGTGCCTCCCCCATCCAGGAGACTACGTGCCCAAGCCTATGGCCCAAGGGAGTGGTATGCCATGAGGAGCCCCATCCAGGAGACTACGTGCCCAAGCCTATGGCCCAAGGGAGTGGTATGACAGGAGGAGGCTCCTCCAGAGGACTCCACGCCTAGTGAGGATTGCTACAGTTCGAGTTTTCCAACAGACATGTTCCTTGACGGCAGCTGTTTCAAGATTGTTCAAGTCGGCAATGAGAGAGTTCGGGAGATCGAGCTGGGACTTCACCAAGAGTCTCACTCCGAGCGCTCCATCCTGGCCTGGTGTACGAGTCACAGTCTCGTGCGGGCCCATGTGCCACAGACGCCCCAGGCTGGTGAGCTTTGGTTGGTTTGCTGCACTGCAGGGGTAAACCCAGAGGGAGGCTCTACTTTCCTCTCTGACCGTGCGAGCGTAGTCGCCGTGGGGTCTCAGAGGCCCGCAGGACAAGGACTCGGGCCACAGAGCTTACGCAGGCTCGCTGTTCAAAGGGTTTTTCTGACTCGATAGAAGGGGATGCAAAATGGGCTTGCAAACATCTCGGCTCACAAAGAACTCGACGAGGCTTGGATTAGTAGTCAGGGGGCCTGCCGTCGCAAAAATCACTTTGCGGATCTGGTGGCGAAATTCGGTGCCCAACTTCACCCCCAAAAAGACCCGACGTCTCAAGAACATATTGCCAACTGTATTAAAGTTCCGTGTGCTATGATCCAGTTGGGGACACACATTTTCCCCTTGCGGCCCAAATCCCACCAATCCTCTGGGCGTAGGTGGTCTACGGATATCTTTCTTTCCTCTTCCCCAGCTCCTCTTCCCTTCGGAGAGGGGTACCCTCCCCCTCCCCTCCCCGCCTTTTTGGGGTGGTTCCGCGATGTGTCAGAGGGTCTTTCTTCGCCCAAGATGGCGCCTGCAGGGCCTCCGATGCTCCAAGATGGCCTCCAACATGACTCAAGATAGCGAGGCCCCAAGATGACCACAAGACGGTTCCAAGTTCTCTTGGAGCCCCCCGAGTACCCTCCCAGGGGGCCACTTCCGATGAGCTTCTGATGCCTGAAGGTGACCCAAGATGGCCAAAGGGAGCCACAAGAGGGGCCCAAGAAGCCCCCCAGATGGCCCCCAAAGCGCCCAAGAGTGCCACCAAAGGCGAATCTGAGGGCTCCAAAGGGGGGGGAATTATGTGACCCCCCCTCCTTTGGTCGATAGTCTCCAAGATGGCCTCAAGTGCGCCCCACAAAGGCCCCAAGAGGCGGTTTGCCTCCTCCTCCCCCGCTTCCCCTCGCTCCCCCGCGGGTCCCAAGGATGGCCCGAAGAGGCCCTTCAGAGCCAACCCCTTGCTCCCAATGATCTCTCTGTTCATCCTGGTTGCTCACTTTGTTTCACTATATGTGTCTCTTCGTTTTCCCGTCAACTCTCATGGGCATGGTTTCTGACCGGGCTGGTGGGGATACGAGAAGCGTGAATGATAGTGCTGGGCTTGTGTGGGGTACACCAAGCTCGCCCGCCAATATTTTGGAGTAAGATCCCCAGGCCAATCCTGGGTTTAGCCTTTTAACTTTTGGTAGTGCTGAGTCTGTTTGCAAGGGGAGAGCAGTTTTGAGCGTGCTCCTTCAGGCTGCTGTAGCGTGCCCCTCGCCTCAATCTTCAACTTTTGAAAGACAACGGTCATCGCTGAACTCTTGCCGATTGCCCAGGTCATCGTTTTATGTGAATGTGTCTCGACTGCCCCCACTACAACATGAGTGGTCGAATCATGGAATTGGCCCAACCGTGTCAAAGGAGCCAGGTGTTGGCCGCACTGCCTGACAGATACCCCCAGGAAGGCGAGACGAAACGCAGTGTGCGTTTTCTGCTTTCATCCTGGTCATCCTAACTTGGTGGTCCTCAGACTTCAACCATGGGTCCTCTCCTCCTTCCTCATTCCATCCTTCGTTCCGTCCTCATCTTCCTCCTCTGCCTTCCTTCCCCCTTCCTTCCTTCCTCCTTCCTTCATTCCTTCTTCGTTCCTTCCTTCCTCCTTCATTACTTCCTCCTTCTTTCCTCCTTCCTTCAGTCCTTCGTCCTCTTTATCCTCTGCAGCTGCTCGATGTGAATACTACTCCACTGCCTCCTCCGAACACGTCCAAGTGGGCACTGCGCCCTCTCCGTGCACTGCTGCTTGCGCATAGGGTTTCCAACCTTGATGTCTTGTAGGCTTGTGGCTAAAGTAGGATGTTTTCTCGGGGGCTCGAAATTTTGCTCCCGCTGCAGCGTGGGCCTCATTTTGGGATCGGCGCTCTGATCCCGTCGTTCCGAGTGGCGCTCTCGCCCCAACGGGGGCCACAACTCTGGATTCCCGAATCCTTCCACATCGTTGCCTCCGCGCTCCTTTCCCCTCCTGCCCTTTCTCGCTCCTCCCGCTCCTGCTCCTGCTCCTGCTGCTGCTCCCCCTCGTCCACCTCCTTCCTCATCCTCCTGCTGCTCATTTCGGGGATGGACAGAGCCCCCTTTAATAAAACACGTGGTTCAGTGAAGACGACCTCGGGCCCAAACCCGGCGGGCGCAAGCCTGGAAAATGACGGCCGCGGCGCCCTCTCGAGAACCGAAAACGGACGATTCACGAATCGACGTGCCATGGTGGAGGAGGAGGAGGAGGAGGAGGAGCCTATCTCCTCTCTCCTCTCCTCTCGCCCTTCCCCCCTCCTCTACAAACTGCACGATGCTGCTCTCCTCTCTCTCTCTCTTCCCCGAAAGCGCGCCGGCGAGGGGTCCGGGCCTCCTCCGCGTAGTGGGTTTATATACACACACGGGCTGCCACGAATCGAGAATTCATACGTTTTTCCAACCCGCGCGTTGTCCATTATGGATGGAAAGAACGACTCGGAAGCCGGGCAAGGGCTGCTAAATCCGTGGCTGCTAAAATCGACCTCTGGGAAAGTGTCTTCGTCCTTCCGGGAAGAAGCCCGTTGACTGTTTCGCGTGCCGCGCCTCATTCCGGGAAATTGTTTTTTCCTTCCGGGAGAGCCGTTTTAGCAGCCACGGTTTTAGCAGCCCTTGCCCAGCTTCCGAACGACCCTACCCTGGGTTGCAAGTACGTGGTCTGTACCTCCTGGGACCCCCCAAAGAGCTTAGAGAGCCGCCAGGACGCCGCACACCACGCAGGGTTTACCCTGTCGGCCCACAGCAGTTTCAGTGCACAGCGCCTCTTAAAACCAGGGTAGGGGCGTTCTTTATTCCCTTGATTCAATCCTTCCAGAATGGCGCTCCCGCTACAGCGTTGGCTCCATTTTCCCACTCCCAATCCTTCCAAATTGTGGGTCTCTAGGCGTGTGAGATAGTTCCCCCCCCTATAGTCCCCCCCCCGGGACCCCAAACCGGCGATTTGACCCCCCCACCCCGGGCCCGGGACGAGCGCCCCCCCCGGGCCCGGGACGAGCGCCCCCCCCGGGCCCGGGACGAGCGCCGCCGGGCCCGGGACGAGCGCCGCCGGGGCTTTGCCGGGTTCCAGGAAGCCTCAAGACGGGCCAAGATGGCCCCAAGAGGCGTTCAAGACGGCCCACGGGAGCTCCGAGACGCCAAACGAGCGCTCCAAGACGCCCAAGATGGCTCCAAGACGGGCTAAGAAGCCTCCAAGACGGCCCAAGAGGTCCCCAAGAAGCCCCAAGACGCCTCCAAGATGCGTCCCACGAGGGTCCCTAGACGCAAAAATTGGCCCATTCCCTTCGTAAAACGTACATTTTTCACGGATTCGCTTTTTTGTTTTTTCCGACGCTCCCAGACGGCCCCAGACGGCCCAAGAGGCCCTAAATACCGCCCCAAGACGGTCCAAGCAGCCTCCAGGGAAGCTCCAAGGCAGCCCAACAGAGCCCCAAGATAGCCCAAGAGGCGCCCAAGATTGCCCAAGAGGGCCCCGAAGACGGCCCCAAGAGCGCTCCAGGAGCGCTTCAAGTTGCCTCCAAGAGAGCTCAATATGGTCACAGACGGTCGAAGAGCGATCAAAGACACCGACGATCGCCTCCAGACGGCCCAGGACGGCCCCAAGAGGCCCCAAGAGGCCTCCAAGATGCGTCCCAGGAGGGCCCCTCGGCGCAAAAATTGGCCCGTTCCCTTCGTGAAACGTACTTTTTTCCACAAATTTGCCTTTTCAGCTTTCCGACGCTCCCAGATGGCCCTGGAGGCCTCCAATACAGCCCCAAGGTAGCCCAGAGGCGTTCGAGCCGGGGTCATCCGAGCTCCGGTGGATCCCGGCTCGAACGCCGCCGGGGGGAGCAAAGGGCCCGAAAACGAACCAAGAGCGCACCAGAGCCCCCCCCCCCCGGGCCCGGGACGAGCGCCGCCGGGCCCGGGACGAGCGCCGCCGGGGCTTTGCCGGGTTCCAGGAAGCCTCAAGACGGGCCAAGATGGCCCCAAGAGGCGTTCAAGACGGCCCACGGGAGCTCCGAGACGCCATGCCTCTCAATCTTTTCTTCTGGCACTTGCCACTGCGCTGTAACGCCTGGCAGCTACGAGCAGTGAAGGCGGAAACGCGGCGATAGCCGCCGGTACGAATCAAGGGGTCGGCGGATGTGGCGTGAGCCTGGAGAATCATGTACCCGCTGCAGCGCTGACCCCATTTCACTGTTTCGGTTCTTCCAGATCATGGTCCTGCTGCAGCGTTGGCTTCGGTTCCGCGCTTCCAATCCTTCCAAGTCGTGCTCCCACTGCAACGCTGGTCACATTTCCGCTGATTCGGTCCTTCGAAATCGTGCTCCCGCTGCAACGCTGACCTCATTTTGCGCTTCCCGCTTTCCAAACCGTCCACTTGCAATTCCCGTCCTTTAATTTCTGGTTCCCCTCTGACCTTGTTGTCGACATGTATCGAGTTCTTGACGCGACGACGTCGGTTGTGGCCGTGCTCTTCTATGCCGTGCTATGCCGTGCCATACCATGCCTCGCGTACTCTCTGGGAATCATTGCCCTGCTATGTCCTGTTCGACATCCGAGTGTGCGAATCGGGAGGAGGCCTACGCAACTGTAAGGGATTGGAGGGAGGGGTAGGACGTCAGATATGACGCTTGCGCACCTATCTGACCTCGCTCCTTTCTGCTCTCTCCTCCTCCCTCCACAACTGCGCAGTGTGATTTCCACTCTGCTTTTCCTCCTCCTCTTCCTCCTCCTAACATGCGCGTGCGTGTGTTTTTCAATTTACGTGCCCCTCCTGGGGCTCCCACCTGTTTTCTACAAGTGGAAAGCTTGAGGCTCAGATCACGTTGCTGCCCCCCAATTTACAACAACAGCGGCTCCCGCGTGACGCTCTCTCACAAGTTACTGAAAACTCGGACTTGCGCTAACAACTTCCTTGCGCATTATCCAGGAAGTGCGCTCTCGCCTGGGACTCCCCTGCAGTTTAATCGCTTGCACAGGGTGCCCAGAGCTCCGACCACTCTACTTCGACACGCACGCACGGCACCGGCACCGCGCCCCCACCCTCCGCAGCCAGCTGAGCTCCTCCCCGTCGCCCCCCCGGCCTGCGCGCCCCCTCCGCCCCGACCACTTCACGTCGGCACGCACGCACGGCACCAGCAACCCCCCGCCCCCCACACGGACAGAACGACACGGCAGCACGACACGGCAGAACGACACGGCAGAACGGCGCGGCAGGCGCCCAGGGCAAACCACCCAACGCCCAGTCTCTACGTGCTCGGGACGCGCACTTCGCGAAGCGAGAGGAATCTATTCAAGATGGTGCTCCCGCTGCAGCTTTGGCCGCACGCCATGATCGGCGCTCTGCCCCCGTCGTTCAGAATGGCGCTCCCGCCCCAGCGCGCGTCACCCTTCTAGATCCGAATACTTCCTTGCCGTTGTCGCCTCCCTCCTTTGCCCTCCGCCTGCCCATTGTCCTCTCGCTCCTCCTGCTCCTGCTGTTTCTCCTCCTCCTCTTCCTCCTCCTCCTCCTCCTCTTCCTCCTCCTCCCCTTCCTCCTGCTCATCTCCCTGCTCATCCGCCTCCTCTTCCTCCCCCTCCCTCCACCGACGAAAGTAGTTCCACAGCTCCCCTCTCCCTGCTTGTGCACACCACTATCTCTTGGGAGCTCCAGGCCCAGCCTGACACCCGCCGGCAGACGGAGAAAAATCAGCGCAGTGGGCAAGGATGGCTGGGAGGGGTAGGATGTCAGACACGGCGCGCGTGCGCCCAGCCTGTCTCCGCCTCTCCCCTCTCTTTTCGGGTGTTGCTCGAAGTGTCGAGACGCGTCGAGGCGCCGGACAAGCGTCCTGGAGGATGGCTCCATAAGAGTTCTGCGGGGGGACCAGGAGCACCAGAAACTACAGCTACTATTCAGTCAGAGCGTGATGCAGGAAGGACGGGGGAGACGCGCAATGGGAAGCAGACAGGGAGACCAGTTGCTAGAAGTGCCCCTGGCCCACGGTGCCCCCAGGATTTCCGATGCGGCCCCCACGGCCTCCAGAGCACCCCTGACGAGGCCCAGATGGCTCCAGGGGCTCCAACATTTGTGTCGTGCGCGTTTTTGTCTAATCAACCCGATTTTGGTGTTCCAGAATGGTGCTCCATTTCAGATTCGCAATGGAGCTTCGGAACGTCTGCAGTAATTCAAAATTGTGCTCCCGCTCCACGTTTTCCTCCTCATACTCTTGCGATATGTTCCAATATGTAAAGCCACAACTTTCTGCTTGCGCATCGCACGATGAGGCCATTTTGGAGATCCACGTCCTTATGACACCCCATTCGGCTGAGAGGAAATCATTCAGCACATTCGGAAGGGATTGGTCGGATGGGTAGGATGTCCTCTCTTCTCTCTCCTCTGCTATCTACTCTCCTCTCCTCTCCTCTCCTCTCCTCTCCTCTCCTCTCCTCTCCTCTCCTCTCCTCTCCTCTCCTCTCCTCTCCTCTCCCCCTCGCCTCTCCTTGCCTTTCATTTCATCGCATCTCCTCTCTATCTTTCTCTCCCTCCCTTTCTATGTCTCTCTATGCAAGGTCGGGAACTTTCGTTTAGAATGTCGCGGTAACGGCCCTGGTGACATGGTATGCCTGCAAGAGGATAGCGTGTCGCTCCGCTTCGTGGCGCGGGAGGCTGGGAAAGGCTCGGGGCGTTGACGCCTGGGGCTAAGCACGCGGTCAGCGCGTCGCACCGAGTCGTGGTGGGTCAGAACCGGCGGCGCGACACGCGAAGCCACAGTTCCACAGCCAGGTTTCGTCCTCCTCTCTCCTCCTCTCTCCTCCCCTGAGGGGCAACGATAAAGGGGGGGATGGGCATTTTGGGGGGATGCATCGACCTGGAATCGGCGATGCATCGTCGACAGGTCGGCGATAGGCCCCCGATACTGAATCCGCACCTTCCTGGGCGGGGTGGGGCTATTGGGCCCCTATCGGCGATCAGTGGGCGATTGGGGGTCGATGCACCCCCCCCCCATGCCTATCCCCCCCTATCCTTGCCCCCGATCCCCCCTTCTCCTCCTGGAGGCGCCTCCGCGAGGTCCACCTGCACCACCACCCTGCGGGCGCCCGCGGCGCCGCTCGGCGACCGGTGCATGGCTCCGGGCGCAGGCCCCTGGAGGGGGGGGGCTGAGAGGGGGGGAGGGGTCGGCAGAGTCAAAGATGTGATGCAGAAAGTCATCAACTAAGAAAGCGCATTCTGAAGTTTCTTCAGGAAGCGCTGGGCCAGCTTTTGGGGCCAGGAACGTACACTATATTCGTTTCTAGGATCCAGGGCTGCCAACCCCCTCAAGAAACTGAGCCAGCTTTCCGGCAAGTTGGTGAAGAAACGCTGGGCCAGCTTTTCGGGGGGAGGTTTCTTCATCATAAGGGGGAACCGTAGAGGGGAGAGAGAAGCGTGTGTCACTCGATGGTCGAAATTTTCGGACGTGTCCAAAACAAATCCCCAGCACTTCCAGCCCGGACAGACCAAGAGGAACCCAACCGAGCCCCAGGTCGGCCCCAGAGGCCTCCAAGGCAGGCCAGGAGGCTCCCAAGGCGGCCCAGGAGGACCCCCAGGAGGGACCCAATAGGCAAACATTGCCGCTTTCCCTTCGGACAACGTGCACTTTTGATATGCTCGCTCTTTTCGTCTTCACCGCGCCCATGACGGCTATACATGCCTTCCCGATCGCCCCAAGACGCCCCCCAGAGCACCCCAGGAGGGCCCCCAAACGGCCCGCGCCGCCGCGCCTCCCCGAGGGCGTCCCGGGGACGCCCGAATCGTCCCGACCGGCCTCCGGAGGCCCGAGGTCCTCTCGACCTGAACAACACAGCTCCTCGCATCGTGACAAAGAGCGCGACATATGTTTTTTTCCGCCATTTCGGGCTCTGGGGCCCTGGGGTGACCTCACCAGAGCCCAAGGGCTGTAGAAAACGACTCGGGATATAAATCTGGTCCTGGGGGAAATGGTCTAGGCTTCCAGGCGTCCACGTTGTGGGCAAATGACGACGTCCGAGTTCTGTGGGGTGGGTCGGATGGAGCAAGGGAGCAGAATTCGAATTCCCCGGTGTATGCAAAACTGGTCGGCAGGGAGGAGGAGTACGCAGGGTACAGGAGGAAGGAGGATGATGAGGGAACGAATGGCTTCTACAGGGCTTCAGGGGGTCCTCCTCCACTCCTCCCTTCCTCCTCGTCTTCCTTTTCATTTGCAGGCTGGAGGGCGCGCGGTTGCGCCCGTAACGCCAGACTTACTCCTCGTCATCCTTTTCATGTGCAGGCTGGAGGGCGCGCGGTTGCGCTCGAAGCGTCACTTGTTTGTTTCTTGCGCAGGCTGGAGGGCTCCTACTCCTCCTCCTCCTCCTCCTCCTCCTCCTCCTCCTCCTCCTTCTCTTCCGAACCCCTGTTCCTGAACTGTTGCTGTGGCCGCCCGCCGTGAACAATTATATGCGCATGTGAGCGCACCAAGCCTGGCACATTGTGCACAAGCGTGTGATGTACCCAACGACTGCACAGCCACCTCGCAATCACCCGCAGTACGTCCACTTTTTGGGACATCCGCTTGGCTCAGTTGGGACATGACGGTGCTGCGCTCGCAGAAGGGGTGTGCCACAGTCCACGTTGCATGTTGCAACGAGTACACGAACTCAACACTGTCGCCCTCGAACACGACCCACTCCAAGATCTGCAATACGCCTCCGCACTGATGATACTTCCCGTGTCGGCCTGGCGGCCTCATCAGCCCTGGCCCCCTTGCTGGGTTCCTGAGTCGCTTGTGTTCCGGACCGCGCGGCAACATGAGTGATTGGGATGTGGTCGTTCGCTGTGCCTGTGGGGGCTGGTACTGCCGCCTCCTCCTGCTTCCGCTCCTGTCCTCTCCTTCCTCCTCCTTTTCACAATCCTCCTCCTGCACCTTGCGCTTTCCCCTCAGTGCGCGAAGCTACGAATCCCGCCAACTGACTGGCAAACTCGCTTCCCTTGGGGTTGGCACTGCGTGCCTTCGCCCATGACGAGCTGCGAGCGAGAGACGTGCAACGTCACTGTCTGCTGCGACACCCGCTGGCTTTCCGACGGCGGCCTGCAACGCGAGATACCCAACGACCCTGCTCATTCTCCTGCTCAAGGGGGTCAAACTTCTGGGGTCACATTCCTCGAAAGGCAAAACTGAGGAACAACTATTTTCTGGTACACGTGCTGGTCTGGGCGAAGAATTTCCAAAGCAGTGAAAGACGAGAAGGGAAGGACTACTCAGGTTTTCGAAACAGATCTATACGGCCACGAACAGGGAACACCCAAGGAACTGAGCTCACCATCTTCACGACCCCGAGAGAGGTAATCAGGCTGACCCCCACTAGCAGGCCCAAGACCCTGCTTCGGTGGTTCAAAGATGGGGTCCTGAGGGATGGGGTCCCAAGGGTAGGAAGTGAGCTAAGGGTCGACTTCGATTGTTTGAGGCACCTCGTGATTAGGACCCCATCCCTCAGGACCCCAGCCCCCCACGAGGAGGACGGCGGCGACGGCGGCGAGGACAGCGACGGCGACGGCGGCGACGACGGCGACGGCGACGACGACGGCGACGGCGACGACGACGGCGGGGGCGACGACGAGGATGGTGCAACGCTGCCTAATTACGAAGGCGACGACGACGACGACCTCTTTGAACCGCCGACTGCTTTGCACCTTCTCTCACGGCGGCCAGCGACCACGGCCCACCGGCAGCGTCCCTCGCGCATGCGCGCCGCTCTCGGGCACGGCCGGAGGGCTCCGACGGCCGAGCGCCGCACGCCGGCGCCGGCGCACCTCCCGCCACGGAGGCGTGCACCGCCGCGGCCCGCTGCAGGCTCCCTCCGCCTCTGCGGCGGCCTGGGCCGAGGCGAGAACGACCCTCCGCCTGCAGCTCGCGCGGGGAGCTGGCGCTGGGCACGAGGCAGGTGGGCTCCGAGGGAGGCGGGCCCTGGGCCCCGGGCAAGGACCAGCCGACCCCGGGCGGTCCCGGGGGCCCGTGGAGGGCGCCCCCTGCAGGCTCGAGAGCGGGGAACCATCACCCCTCCAGGACACGCTTCCTCAGGACCCGCTCGCTCCACTGGGGGCCTCCCAAGTGGTGTCCGAGCAGATGTGCTCGGGGCATCGCGCCGCCCATGCATCGGCGATGCACTGGAGGCGTGGGGGAGTCCTCGGCGCCATCGGGGCTGAGAACACCGGGCTCAGCATCGAGCCGCATCGCCCATGCATCGGCGACGCGCCGCGATCCTCCAACTCCACCTGCTCGGACCCCGTCTGGGTGGCCTTGATCCACGGCGACGGCACCGCCCACCGCGCCGGGCCGCGGCTGCCCATGGGCCCGCCGGGGAGGCCCGCCGGCGGCGGCGGCGGCGTCGCCGCCCGACGCGGCCGCCCGCAGCCTCGGTGGGCGGGCCGCGGCCGGGGCCCGCCCGAGCCTTCTGCGCCGGCGCCGCCCGCCGAACGCCCGCGGAAAGGGCGGGGCGCCGCAGCGCCCGCCCCGGCGGCCGAGGGCGCGCACCGCAGCCGCGCGCCGGCGCCCCTCGGCCGCAGCCCTGCCCCTGGCGCTCCCTCGCCCCGCGAAAAGCGCCCGCTGCAGCGGCGGCCGGCGCACCTCGCCCGGCCGAGCCCTACTCGGGGGGCCCAACCTCTCGGCGGCGCGCACGCATCTTGGAGGCCTCCTCGATGGGGTCGGCGTAGATGGGGTCGAAGGCTCGCGCCGCATCGCGGATGCATCGGCGATGCATCGGCGATGCAGTGGCGATGTCGGCGATGCATCGGCGCCGTCGGCGTGGCGAACGTCGGGCTCCACATCGAGCCGCATCGGTGATGCACCGGCGATGCGGGGCGATCCTCCGTCCCCATCTACTCGGACCCCATCTGGGAGGCCCAGAGCAGAAAACGAGGGCAAGGCTGGGACAAAGTCGGACCGGGACGACTCGGCGATCTTCCGAGCCCTGGCGGCTGTGGAGGGCCGGGTGTTGCTCTGGACGTGGTCCTGGCCCCGAGCGTCCACAACTTTTGGCGCCACTCCAGGCCCCCTGTGGCCCCCGGGCGACACCTTGGGCCCGAGAGGCTGTGCTGGGCGCCGCGGCCTCTTCAGAGCGCTCCAGACTCGCCATCGCTCGGACATCCATTCCCTGTGCCTTTGTCGGCTTCGCGCGTGTACTCTTTCGCAAGGTGACCAACAATGCTCCTCGATGTCCTTGCCGAGCCAAAAACGCGCACGTCCGAGTGATGCCGAGCAGAACGCCCTGGGAGCGTTCCAGAGCGTTCTGGAGCGACCTTATCCCAGCCCCAGCCTTGCCCGTACAAAAGGGAGTGGCGCGAGGCGGGCAGCCGCACGGGGGAGCTTCTCGCAGGGCAAGTGGAGCTTCTTAGAGGCGGTCTCGGCTTCCGAGGGGCCCTGGCAGAGGCCCCCGGTCCTCCCGAGAAGGCCTCCCTCTTTCCGGGGGGGAGCGTCGCCCCCCTGGCGCCGCCCCCGTGTGCGCGCCGCCAGTGGAGGAACAAACACCTGCACAAACACAAACTCGAGGCGCTCCGCGCGGAGCTCCGAGAATGTGCGCTTATG